AGTAGGCAGAGAGGCAGGCAGAGAAGGGAAGCAGGCTCCCCGCCGGGCAGAGAGCCCGATGCGGGGCTCGATCCCAGGACTCTAGGATCATGACCTGAGCCAAAGGCAAAGGCTTTAACCCACTGAGCCACCCAGGCGCACCTATAATTCTTTTTTTAAAGACTACATTTATTTATTTGAGAGAGAGAGAGAGCACAAGCAAGAGAGTTGCAGGCAGAGAAAGAGGGAGAAGGTTCCCTGCTGAACAGAAAGCCCAATGTGGGGCTCGATCCCAGGACCCTGGGATCTTGACGTGAGCTGAAGACAGATACTTAACCTGTTGAGCCACCCAGGCACCCCAATAAAGCTATAATTCTTAAGAGGAAAAATATAGATATCAGTTACTTCCAAATCTATTACAGTGTCCACAGTTTATCATTCCTGACATGAAAAATACCATAAGAAAATAAAAGTAAAAGAGGACCTTTTTGAGAACCTGATTGAGGTCCTTTTCAGATTCCTGTTCTTTTAATTTCTAAAAAGGGTTAGAATGTGGTAGGTAGTAATCTTATATAGTCTAACCATGACAATTTAATACAGTTTGAAGTATAATTTTATAGAGATTGAAATTCAAAGACAGCATAGACAGAAGTCTTCCAGTGTTTTGACACATCAAATGGGTGGTTTTCCCCCAAAATTATTCCTCAAGTACAAATAAAAGTAGAAGTGATTACAGTCCCTTCTACCAGTACACCTGTAAACACTTAGAAAAATCATACAATGTCTCTGAGAAAAACCAACAGAAATTTATCTGGCAAGGCAATTGGGGTTCTAAAATTACTTCCTCTTACAACTTTTCCAAACACCAAATATTCACAGGTATAAACTTCTTCCTGACAGAACATGTGTTCTGTTGAATAGGAGAACACAAAGGCTTCTATAGAGAATGATTTTACCAATATATAAAATAGACGTCCCTCTAAGCATGTGGCCTCAAAATTATATGGAGGTACTGTAATGCTCACTTGTCTAAGATACATAAATACATATATATATATATATAGATACACACACACACATATATATATGTGTATATATATATGTGTGTGTGTGTATCTTTTATTCTATGAATTATTATAATTTTCATTGCATGAATAATCCAAACAGCCTGAACAATTGCTGATGAATATTTTGACACAAGAACACAAGCTAAATGACTCAAAGCATAAAGAACAGATTATTGTTACTTAATTTTATTGATCAGTCAGTTAATGTCATTGCTCAATCCATGGTTTGGGGTAAAATCTGCTTCCATTTCAAAATGAAAACAACAAAAATCTTAACCAACATAGTCATTGATTCAAAACAACAAAGACGGATTGTATCAAATTACCCCCTTCCTAGAGGTCAAGTAAAGAATGGAAATAACAGCCAGGGGTCTATTATTTTTCTAATTATTTGATAATACCAGCATACATAATATCAGAAAGATTACAGGCATTAAAATTAAGCATTTTATTATTTAAGAGTCATCTTTTTTCTCTAAACCCTAAGGAAAAAAACATATCTTTTGACAACCAGAACTTCGAAGAATCACTGAGACAAAATCTGCTTCAAATTCAATTATTTTTGAAAACAGTAGAAAGAAATCATTTTCACAGTTAACTTTTAAAAGAGTACTCACAAAATGACATACATATTTTACACTGAAATGAAAATAAGGCTATGAACCTTAATTTTACCGTCAAGAATATAGTTGATTAAAAAAAAACTTCATGATTTTTAACAGCAAAATTATAAAACAGAAAATAATACCACCACAAATAGAGTCAAAGGTTAATTATTGAATTAATTATCAGGAGTAGTGAAGGAGACTTCATGACAGCCCACTAGGTAGAAAGAAACTTTACTCTTATTAAAGGGCCAGGAACATAATTGTACTGCACTGATTTTACCTAAAAACTTTTGTTTATCCTCTCCTATATAGAAGCTAGACAATAATAGGAAATATTTTGAAATAAATTACATGTTTTCTAACCTCCCAAATGCGTGCTTTATTGTGTTTTCTAAGTAGTTGCTAGGACTATACATTCTCATTCAGGATGGGATCACATAGGCGCTCACTGCCAGCTTCTTCAATTATCTAGAAGCACCAAAAATGGAAACTCAGTCAGTGACTGCCAGGGGTTAGGTGGAAGGAGAGATGAATAAGTGGACCACAGAGGATTTTTAGGGCAGTGAAAATAGTATGAGTGATACTATAATAGTAGATACAAATCGTTATACTTTTATCCAAACCCGCAGAATGTCCACCACCAGGGGTGACGAAGGACTCTGGAGGACTTTGGTGTCAGTGTCATGGACTCAGCATTTGTAATCAGTGACTTACTACAGCAGGGTGTTGATAATGGGGGAGACGATGCATGTGTGTGGGAAAGGAGTATTTGGGGAATATCCATACCTTCTTAATTTTGCTGTGAACCTAAAACTGCTCTAAAAAAAAAAAAAATTTTTAATAGAGTCAAGAAGGCCACATACAGCTTTTTTGTTTTTTTCTTACAGATATTCCAGTTGAGGCTGGTAGCTTCTGAACTCTCTATATATTGTTCTAATAGTGATATTCAAGTAATAGCTCAAGACTGTAACAGTCACCAGGAAATCCACAAAGGCACCAAACCGTAATACAAAATGATCAAGTATACTTAGTGATCTATAAATATTTCTCAATTATTTTGGGTTTAGACACACAAAAATGGAGCCTAGTGATGGTCTATGAAATGGGAGAACAAAATTCCATTCAGCAGTGACCTATTTGTTTCATTTTCATGCATAGTAATTTAGGTAATCAAAAAACATATTTGGAGTTGCCAGAGTTGAATGAACAATTATATTCACTCAACTTTATCCAAAGATAGTTTCTACTTCCTCCAAACAACTTAATTAATTCAGAGAGTCAAGAATGCCACACTCAGGCCAAGTATTGTAAAGCAATGTAGATTTTAGCATTTAGGTCACAAAACCAAATGCACATGCCAGATTTTTAGAGCTTAGCTATCCAGCAAGCTTTGTCAAAAAGGTTTTGATGGAGGCAGTGCTATTTTCAGACCTTTGAGAGAGGGAAATAGTATTACGGGCACGTAGAAATGAACTCCCGAAGAGACCTAAGAGTCAAGGAAGGCAACCAGGATGCTACTTCAAGAGTAGGGTTCAAATAAAAAAGGGATATTCAAAATGAAAAAGAGGTGGCAGGTGTGAGAAACACCTCGGACTTCCTGCTAGAGGCAACAGGATCCTGACATGGTAATTTCCAACTCATAAGACCGATCAAATATTTGTGCCATAAGACACTCAGATGCTGAAGGGAGAACTTAGGAGGGAAGAGGCCAAAAAATGAGTCAAGTTGAGCCCCAAATCAAATCCTATTGTTACTGTTTTATATAGAAAATAAACCTGATTGATGCCTGGGTGGCTCAGTGGGTTAAGCCACTGCCTGCAGCTCAGGTCATGATCTCAGGGTCCTAGGATTGAGCCCCGCATTGGGCTCTCTGCTCAGTGGGGAGCCTGCCTCTCTGCCTACTTGTGATCTCTCTCTGCCAAATAAATAAAATCTGTTAAAAAACAAAAAACAAAACTTGGCTAGTCTTTTATTTTATTTGACAGATAGAGATCACAAGTAGGCAGAAAGGCAAGCAGAGAGAGAGAGAGGAGGAAGCAGGCTCTCCGCAGAGCAGAGAGCCCGGTGCAGGGCTCGATCCCAGGATGCTGGAATCATGACCTGAGCCTAAGGCAGAGGCTTTAACCCACTGAGCCACCCAGGCGCCCCTAGCTAGTCTTTTAAATACTGCATAGTGCCTGCCTAAAACTTGGATGTAAGGAGAGAATTAATTAATTCTGTATTTCTGGTGATATTAGGAAAAAAGAAGATTTTTACCTTTCAAGTTTAGCACAGACTTGTATATAAAATTTCAAAACATTTTGATGTTTATTCCAAACCAAGCTTAACTCAAAATTTACTAAGAAGCATATTGTCCCAAGTACTTATGTTAATATTCTCTTCTAGCCTTCTGTAGAAATGTCCCTCAGCTTGGCTTTAACTAACCTCTCCTTTTTAAAATTCTTCATAGACTTTGATACAATATAATCCTTTCTCTCCATCTTCCTGACAATTCTAGACCATTTCCTTCACTTTCAAATAATCAAAGCCCTACACTTCAGTTTCACTCTATGCCAACCTTGGTGCATTAGCTAATTCACCTAAGAATCAGCCCAGTTAAGGGCACCTGGGTGGCTCAGTGGGTTAAGCCGCTGCCTTCGGCTCAGGTCATGATCTCAGGGTCCTGGGATCGAGCCCTGCATTGGGCTCTCTGCTCAGCGGGAAACCTGCTTCCCTTCCTCTCTCTCTGCCTGCCTCTCTGCCTACTTGTGATCTCTCTCTGTCAAATAAATAAATAAAATCTTAAAAAAAAAAAAAAAATCAGCCCAGCTAGACTTGACATCCTTTTCTTTGAAGGTTATAAGAAAATACAATAAGGACTACATTTACTGATAGTTATAATTGGCTTAACTTTAAAATAACTATATAAATGCAAGCAAAAAATTAATATTCAAGGGTCTGATACTATAATTCTAAGACAATAAGCTTATTTGTCACTAACCTCAACCTAGTTCTTTAAAAGAGTAAAACAGTTTACCTTTGTTTGCTTTCATTTATACAATCACTCATCGGCCAAGCATGGAAGAAAAAAATATGTATTATGTTTCTTTTAATTTTGTGAGATCAACAGAAATGATACAAATTATTTTTTAAGATTTATTTATTTATTTGAAAGAGAGAGAGATAGCGAGAGAAAGCACAAGGGCGGAGGGAGGAGGAAGCAGGATTCCTGCTGAGCAAGGATGCCCATGCAGGACTCGATCCTAGGACCCTGGGATCATGACCTGAGCCAAAGGCAGATGCTTAACCAACTGAATCACAAATTATGAATCAACCTTTGATGATTTACTTTTTATGCCATTGGCTACTACTAGATACAATATACCCTGAACTAGCTTGTTCAAGAACTAGCTTTCCTTGTTTGTTTTTACTTTCTCTCCTGCATATAGAGAATCTCCTCATTATCTTCAACAATAACAATAAACGTTTTTTGATCAGCTTCTAACAGCAAGGCTGTGTGCTAGAAACTGAATATGCAAAGACATACATACTATTGTCTCTCAGAAAGTTTACGATATAGCTCATTTAAAAAAAACTGTATGAAAATACAAATAAAACGTTAAGGCAGCCTACAAGTAGCTCGTGGGTGATCTTAACAGTAACCGGGGATTGTGAAGGAGGAAGTTTCCTGATATTAGGACCATCAAAGACAACATGACAAAGGTCCTGAGATTGAATCTGGGCCTCGCTGCAAAATGAGTAAAGTCTGGTTAATAAAGACATAGACAGCCACTTACTGGGGAAAAAAAAATGAACAGTTTTGGGCATTCCGGACAAAAGAAACACATTGAGAGAACAATAGGTTACAAGAAAGGTGCTTTGAAACCAAAACCAGTCCAACAGGCAAGGAGGGGAACGTGGAGGCTCTTCTCAAGATATTTATCACTTGCTATGATACTCATATGGCCTCACTAGTTTCTGGAACAGCTCTGTTCTTAACATCTGAACAATTTATTGCCTAATTATTTCGTTTGCCCTTTTGAAGAGTCTCCCTGCAGCACACTTTGTGAGGGTGAGAGCACAAAAAGTGGGCCCTTGGAAAGCTACTCTTCCCCCATTGCATTAAAAGCAAAATAACCTTTTATCAAATGCTTTGTGACCATTTCGAATACTGAATTTGTATTTTAATCATGGAGTTCAACAGGAATATAGCCAGTGGGAAGGACTTAATTACAAATGATGTCCTTCTCATGGTTATGCCCGCAATCCCAGGGGCTGCTTTAATGAAGTTCTGAGCCCTCGGACAGGAAAGGTCAAATGGCTTTCCTCCCCCAATGCCTCAAAGTGCACAGAGCTGCACCTTTATCCTCACAGATGTTCAGCCAGGTATCATATTAGCCTGAGGCAAAAATTCCAGGAAACATGACTCACAGGGTAGGAGATCTTTGGAATTCAGTGGATAATAGAGCAGCCTCTTTCAGAGTTTGGAGAACAGATGAATTTAGATAATCACCATTTGAATTCAAATCTCTATTTCATTAGACATATAATATGCCAGGAGGAATACCATTCTGCTTGCAGACTTATCACATATTAAAGATTCATGATACTTTAGATTGATATTTTTTACATGCTGATAATGTGTCTGCTATGTTTATGCTATGCACATGTTTAAGTCTTATTAGGTTAAGCCAGTTAAAATTGCCTTTTTTGGTAGGTCAACAATGGTTGAATATTCCATTTTACTTGGTTCAACCTGATTACACAGGTTTTCTTACAATTGGCAAAAGAATGGAAAGTCACATTTTATAACACTATCCTGACCTAATTTTCATTTTAAAAAAATATTTTTGCATTATGGCTCAGCAAGATCTTTTCAAAATGTGCTGATAGATAGATATCCATTAGCTCTAAATTTGTGTTCAGTTTTCCTTGCACTGGCCTTGATTTTCAACTTCGATTTTTAGGTTTTGAATCTCTAGCACTAGTGAGAGAATTAAAGGTAGAATCTGACGTACATTTTAAGCACATAAGTCATTTTAAGAATTAATATTGAAGAAAATATTTGGTTTTTCTTAAAACTTAAAAAAGCTGGTTACCCTGCCTTCCCCAAAACAAAACTACTGCATATGCCATGAAAGACATGACTGTCCACATGTATTACTGATATTCATAATTAGAGGAATCTTCATATACAGAATACAGATATTTGGGTCTTCGCATTTTTTTTACAACTTACACCTTTATAAAATATTTGGTCATGAAATATATTTGTATTTATTTAGTTAATTACTTCATTAGGTTTTTTAACCAAAGCGTATTATTATGCATATTATTGTAATAATTGTATAATTATAATGCATTATTGTAACAACTGATCCAAGTAACGTCTACTTCTATAAAACATCATTTAGGTGAACATGAATTAATATAACCATTAAAAAAATGTTAAGACTCTTAAAGCTGATTCCACAATGAACTTTAAATAATTACTAAAGCATATGAAACTAAAAATGAGGGGTACATGGGTGGCTCAGTTGGTCAAGCGTCTGCCTTCCGCTCAGGTAATGATCTCAGGTCCTGAGATCAAGTCATACATCGGGCTCCTTGCTCAACAGGGAGCCTCCTTCTCCTTCTGCCTGCTGCTCCCCATGCTTGTGTCCTCAGTCTCTCTCTCTCTCTCTGACAAATAAATAAATAAATAAATAAATAAATAAATAAAATCTTTAAAAAGAAGTTGAAAATGAATGGAAACATAAATCATGTCAATTAAATTAAGGCTGAATAACACTTAAAACACACACTATTGGGGCACCTGGATGGCCCAGTGGGTTAAAGCCTCGGCCTTTGGCTCAGGTCATGATCCCAGGGTCCTGGAATCGAGCCCCACATTGGGCTCTCTGCTCAGCCTGCCTCTCCCCCTACTTGAGATCTCTGTCTGTCAAATAAATAAATAAAATCTTAAACACACACACACACACACACACACACACACACACACACATACACACACTGTTGGTAGGTTAAGTACTTGACAAAAACTAGTAACTAGGTACCTGGGAAAGGGAGCCAGGAAATAGGGGTAGGAAAGGACTAACAAGATAACTCTTGTCTGGAGCATCAATGGTAAGTACCTGTCATTGTTTCTGGAAGCTAATCTCAGTTGATGGGGTTATACCTGAAATTGAAATAAACAAAAATTCTAGAGTAACTCACTGTGGTCCAACAGAATTGTGAAACAGATGTCTTGTGTGGCTAACAATTTCTGAAGAGAAGGCAGTACATTCTCTTAATGCTCCGTTGGAATAAATGTATGGAGCAGACCACAAAATAAAGGGAACAAGTGCCATCCATGGGCCAGCTGATCTGATGTGCTCCCCGGGCCGCTCTCAGAAATTGGGTTTTTAAGTTGAAAGAACAAGAGTAGTGTTTAACCTGTGTTTATGCGACTTTATAACCGCGTACTACCAGCCTCGCCACCTTCAGGAAGCTTCGATAGGAAAATTGTAGGACATTTGTTTTTAACTCTAATTCCTTTATGTCCCTCAAAACACGTATCATTCTGAACATTTACAAGAAATAACATAAACACTCTTCTCATGGCTGAAAAGCTGCGATGTATCTTATTTTTACTGGCAGGTAATGTGGGGGCCTACAGTGTAACAGCTGTCTCAATAGCCATGAAATTAACGACAGAACATTGCAAACCCTTCAGCGGCTTGTTTTCTGCGGGGGAGAAACAGAAAAAATGACGAAAGAGGCGCCTTGCCCAGGTTTTGGAATGACTCCACAAGAAAGGTGTTGAACTGACTGCTGGAGGATTCATTCCTGATTCTCCCAGTTTGAATATAACTGTCTTCCTTTAGTCAGGATTTGTGGGTGTTGGGTTTGTTTTCGTTCCAAAACCTTTTCCAAGACGCACGTGTTAATTCACCACACGCCGGAATGGCAGGCACGACGCGTCTGGGGGCAAGAACCAGTGAAATACGGCAAGGCACAGCGGGGGAAGAATTTTTTGTTTGTTTCTTCATTTATTTGAAGATCTCTTTCCCGCCTCTCTCCAAAGGGGAAGCCACCACCGGGGGGTGAGGCTCAGGCTTTATCTCTAAGACAATAGCGCCTCTCGCCGCCTCAGGCACAGCTCTGAGCTCGCGCCCTGCCCTGCCCGAGCCCCCGTCCTACCTGTCCCCCTGCCCAGCCAGCTCATCTGCCCCACGAGTCACCTGCCCCACGGACGTCCCCGCGTCTCACCTGCGCCTCTGTCCCGCGGGCGCCCCTACTCCACTAGCTCGTCTGCGCTCCAGTCCCCCGGCCGCACCAGTCCCTCTGCTCATCAGTCCTCTGGCCCGCCCGACCCCGTGTCCCCCAGTCCCCCGGCCCCAGCAGCGCCCCGGTGAAGCGGAGGCGGCGGTCGCGCGGAGCCTGCGGTCCTTCCTGGGCACACTCCCCCCCCCCCCGCCCCAACCACCCCGCGCCCTCGGGCGGGCACAGGAGCGTTGCCGCAAGCCACTGGCCCTCTCCCAGCGCCCCGCGCCCGAGGAGCCCCGCACCCCCGGCTCTCAGGCTCGCCAGCCCGCGTCTCGCCTCCTCCTTGGCTCGGGGGCCCTCGGGCTTGTTTGCTTGTCCTCATCCCCGGGCCAGCCCCGCTCCCTCCCGGCTGCTTCAACAGCCGTTTGCTTCCTGCGGTGTGTTTCTTTTTTTCCCCTCCTAGGCTCCATCAAAGGTGGCTCTGTTATTGAAATATGAAGCCATTTCCTCTCCAAAACCCTTGGTTACTCAAGGCGGGAATCAATGGACCTATATACTCTCCCAGAAGTTATAAATAAACGTCTATTTGTTCAGGAGGCGTTTTCCCGCGTGTCCCAGCATCTTCCCCAGTGGTTATTTTAGGGTGTGTGTGTGTGTGTGTGTGTCGATGTGTGTGTGCGCACCCGCGCGCGCACCCTGTGCCCATCTGGTTCTAATCCTGGGTATGGATCCATAAGCCAACCCCACCCATCTCGTCTGCCCCTCGCATTCCTCACTCTATAAATAAATCCAGGTTCTTTGAGCTCTGTCACACCCGGGTACAATAGCAGTTGTTAGCCAAGATTCAAACCCAACATTGAGTCCAGTACACAAGAAAATACACTTCTTGCAATTTGGAAGTGTGGAAGTGGAAGGGCACCTCCAGTTTAGGAAACTTTGTCTGCTGTTGTCCTGTCTCTCCACCAAGTCACCCTGGATCTACTGGGGAAAGGGAGACCTCTCCCACCTTTGGATTTTCCTCTGAACGAAGGCTAAAAAACAAAGCACGAATGTACTGTCCTCCCGTTTCTGCCTCACACTGCTGCCCCATAGAGGATTCTGCTGACCCGTTGCCCCAGCATCTCTGTACAGACCCAGGAGTGGTGAGGGTGCAGGAGGTATGGTGTGAGTGGGGGTTTGTGGCTGTAGCTGCTGCTTTCCCTGAACCCCTGAGCTGGATGCTCCGGGATCTGAGCAGAGTGGAAAGTCATCTAAGAAGCTGCTGTTTCACAAGATCTGGGCACAGAGCTGCCCCTCCCTTCCTCCCTGAAGTTTGCATGAAGTGCACGTTAGGCTGTAATTAGGGGATCTGGGAGGAGAACTTTCCTGGTGACGCTTTGCTTTTCTTCTGCTCTTGGTGAGAAAGTGCCTCCTTCTTCCCAGGACCAGGACTTCTGCCATCCAGCGCCACAAAGAGACATTCTGCGCACTCACACACACACACACACCACACACACACTCTCTCTCTCTCTCTCACACACACACACACACACACACACACACACTTGCCCAGAGACAAACTTAAGGTGAGGAGAAAGAGCGCTAGCTTCACTTGATCTTCAGGCTCCAACCTCAACAGGACTTGAGAGCATCTGAACTTCTGGATTTCAGGACAAGGTAAAACTTCCATAAATTTTTCACTCTTCCTCTCAAACCTTAGTGCCTTGAAGATTTCAGAGAGCAATACATATTATGATGTATATATACATTAAAACAAATTTTCTTATTTTCTTCCATTTTGAGTTTAACATGACATCTCAACTCTTTTTTTTTTGAAGAATCATATTGTCAGGTAAAATCCTGGATTGCAATAAAAAAGCTCAGTCTAGATTGGGCTAAGGATTAACTCTAATATCCTGGCTTTTGCTCCTGGTACTATAAATCTGGCAGGCGCGTGGTTTCCAAGTGGTGGCTTTTCCATCTGTATTTCAACAAGCATTTTTATAGCACCTGAGATGAGAAATAGGATAGTATAGGTTGAAGGAAATGCTGAGGAATGGGAATGTCCATTCCAGATTTTTGAGTTTTGTTTTAGGGAATGTATAGGTTTGTGTGGAAAAGAAAGTTACTGTAATCATAGATAATACCAGTTAGATGGATAATCTTTGAGATGTTACGAATTTTGGTCCGCACGCCTCCAGTTAATTGTGAAATTAAAATTTTAGAGTTACGATGCCTTTCCTACATTGAATGATGTTGATAATTAATTTTAAGGTACTGAAAAATATTTTAAAGTCATAGTTTTTGAGATTACTATTAAAAGTTGCTTAAAGGATTTATGTGATGAGACTGTTTACCACTCTAAGCAAATCTGAACATTTAGGGCTTAAATGAAGTTGTTTTCTTCCACCGAATTTGACTGTTGTGTTGAAAATGAGATGGTTTATTATTTTGAAAATATGTTACTTTATTTTCATTTATCCCTGGAAAAACACACCGAGTGGCCAGTACATTTGGGAATTTTTAGGGTGGAAAGTGTTCCTGTACATGTTCCAATGTGATGTCATAAAATCAAACATACTGGCTGGCATC